TTGGATTATTTATACCTCTTATCGTGAGTAAATTAACATGAACGCGTTTAAGGTAGAATTTTTTTTATATACATATATAGATACTTATAATATATGTGTATATACTGTTACGCTCGCACGTTTCGCATGGAGGACACATTAATCGCACTGAAATAAATGTGCAAAACAGTACAATGGGAATGAGTACTTTATTGAGAAATGACAGAAGTGTTAAAAGCTCAGAACTGTAGGATGTATTATGGAATTATTCAGAATGAATTTCGATCGAAATTAATTATTCCCTTTTTTACACACAATAGAAATCTAGATAAAACGGAATAATTCCGATCAAAATTCATTCTGATTTGTTCTATATAGGTGCCCTGAACACAAAACCACTATGTTGTAGAGAGTTCCTCTTTTGTGATCTGATTTCTTGGCGATCGATAACAGGTGGCCTGAAATATGAGAGAGACTTCGGCGCAATACAAATACATATATTTTTTTAGAGATAAGTTTGTCATAGAAATATGCGAGTTAAACATAGATGATTCTAGCATAGATGAATGAAATATAATAATAAAAAAAGTGCAGCAGAGGAAAAATGGAGAATGTAAATGTAGAGAGAAAGCAAGCCTTTTGTCACTGCATTTAAAAATTTTCTGTCTTACTCTCTTCAAATTTTAAATATCTATTTTATTTTAAGTATGTATAATGTACTAGTTTAGCAACAAAAAAAGAATTAAATTATCAAATTTTTATGTTCTTTTTCGAAGTTTAATTTCTGAGCACTTAAATTCTAAGAGATCTAAAAAAACCGAATTTTCTCCTATATATTTGTAAATTTAAGGAAATTTTGATATTGCTGTACATTTAGAATCTTGAAATTCTATATTTGAATTTAAAAAATTAACTAAAGAACATCTCTTGAATTTAAAAAAATTGCAATTTAGTTAATTTAATTCGATTTTGAAGAGATTATTCTCAAGAATATTGATGATCGTTTTAGCTAGAATTGACGGGTCGAGAGAATTGTATTTAGCATGTAGGTAGTATAGAAGATAGATTTTTACACTCATTGTAAATATTCTGATAAATACGTCTAAAGAGTGTAAAGGAAAGAACGAATCACATCAACAGCCGGTCCATAATTCGTATATTCTAATTGACTTGTTTTGTCGAAGCCACAGTGCATATCTGTAATTTTGTAAGTGCATAAAATGTAATATATTATTTTATCAGCAACATGGAATCATTGTCGATAAATTATCCTTAAATAATTTATCCTTCTGACTACTCAGCCAAGAACTCTGCGTTGACGGTGGCGACACAGTATCAGACGGCGGTCTGGCAAAATCGGTAGCCACACACTTAAGCACGAGCCCATGTCGCAGGCGAGCACACGGACATTGGATCGTGCTTGTATGTTGCAGCGCCACACCACGATAAATGGCCGAACTTATAGGCGTGGAAAAGTGACATTTTGACCAGTTTTGACGACGAAATTTGTGCACGGTGCCATTTCATTATTATTTGCTGAATTGTGAAAATGTGACTTGTCTCGTACTTATCAAAGTCTTAATTTTCGATAAAAACTAAAGTTATCTTGAAATTTTATAAGTAAAAGTGTATATTTCCCTTGTTTCAACAGGTGTTAAACCATATGTTTCTGCCAGAATATAGCCTCACTTTACGAGTCTTTTACGACCATTTACTGACTATCAAGGGAAAGAAGGACAGTTTTCATCGATTTTTACAAGTGTTTTAAAGCGAACCCATCGTTTAATTTCATCCAAATTGTCTCTGTTTACAAATGGCATCGTGCGTAAATTAACGTGTCATTCCTCGCTTCTGACGTCACGATTCCAACATGGCCGTCGCGACTACTCAGGGGCCTTAAATTAAAATTATTCAAAATGTATACTTATAATTCATTTAATCATTCTTATAATATTTTTTTAGAAAAAAATTGCAAGAAGTTTCTGGAAATGATTGAAATTTACAAAATTCTTATCTTATGTACATATAGTTGTATGTAATATATGTGTGTGTGTCAATTTACATTTTTTATATTTTCTACCTATATATAATTATA